ATTCAAGTGAGATCTTTTACCAGTGAATGTGAGCTCAAATACCTGGTAAATAGGACGTGGTCACAGGATATTTTGGACTTGATGAGGATCACTAAAACGGGACTTTAAACCTGCAATAACTCAGGGGCAGTGGAAACAAGCGATGAGCACAATTTTGACATATCATCAAATTTTAAGTGAATATAGTGAACTTGTTATTAAACACTTGCTGATTTACACTCCCAGAAGTTAGGAAGCAACATTATCATATTTGTGGCTAACTAATGGCATGTAAGTTCAATATTCACTCTCTTTAAACTCTGTTTCTGGTCTCCACCAACTCCTCAGAGAACTTTCTGGATGAATGTGCATTCACACTATCACATTATTTTGACATTGTCATTTGATACATTGTTGTATTATAGAAATAGATTAAAGCCGCTTTAAATACATTATTAGAACTTAATAGATTATCAGAATTAGTGTAAAAACAGGTTTCTGCTGCTGTTCCTCTCTAGATCAGTGAACTGACTGCAACAAACACTGTGATGCAGGGCCCCTGTCGCGCACTTCCGAAAGTTGTTTATTTACTTCGCTGTGAACCTGAACGAGTTCCACAAAACCTCTGGTATTCCTACTCGTCCTGCCAGAGAGCTCGATTATTGGCAGTGACGCATGTGTACAGTTTCTCACTCACGTACACACAATTAGGTTGCTGCTAATCTCACAGCATGGAGAGAGGTCCAAAAGCCCCTACAGTCACCTCCTAATATTTCTTAGTTTCCATATGCTTTACATCATATTCAGGCCAGTTGGCTTTTTGCTTACAGTCACTGCTACATTTCATCTTATGCAACAGTTCTCGTGGCTACAGTATGATTGACTTTATGAGTCTGAATTTCCATTTCGTCATCAGGCATAAAGTTCCTCTCTCATCCGTTGCAGTTACACTTTTTTCTCCGGCTTCTGCTTTTTTTCTAATCGTCTGTCTCTTCTGCTTTTGTCCACACAAAGAGATTCTGGGAAACCTCTCTGCTCAATGCACTTTCACTTTTGATAACTGAGTTACTTATTCAAAACACTCTGAATGTTTCATGGCGAGCTGTCTCTGTGTAGAACCTCGGATTCCTTTCACTTTCTGTGGTGTGTGTGTGTGTGGGTGAGTAGAGGGGTGAGAGAGGAAAGGTCCATCCAAGTGCTCTTCACACTCATGTGCGTAATAGTCCCGTGTAAATCCAAAAATGCTTTGAAAGTTCTGCTCTGGATGTGTGGATGAGATCTTCTCTCTTGCAGAGTGGTGTAAGTACGAGTACAATTACTCTACTTCAAGGACGAGGCCAGCAATATTCACAGCAAATACCACGACTGCAACCCACAATTAATTGATCCTACAAAGAAGTGTTCCTCTGTGCCACAGGCCTCCATTGTTGTCCTAAAACTATTAAAAAGGGTTTGTTACATTTGTTACACAGAACCATCTGGGAAGTCGCCATTGGAAACGGTTTGGAAAAGGGCAGGGACTTTCAAAATACTATTGAGGTGATTGGATGAACTATTGGCCTTCAACCAATCAGATGAACCATATGACGTAGTCAAACTGAAGCCAGTCGGGAGAAAAACGTATTTTCCATCCTTCAGTGTCATTCTTTATTCTTCTTTGAGTACAGAAATACTCTCTAGTTCTGATATAATTGATGCTAGCAGCATCTGCGCTAACCTCTTTAACCTCCGGCCACACACGTATAGTCCTAACCCCATCCATGGTTCAACCACCCCAGTAGGTCATGCTGCCCCAGTACTTCCTCACAGAGCGCTGATTGATCTGAACCAGTGCGGTTTGGAAGCTTGAAGCCTGGCATGATGGATTTTTGTGTGATCTCATGATTTCGTGAGTCCAGCTGCCTCACAAGGTTACCACACTGTTGCACAAATGTTCCTTAATGACGATGAACATGGGCACTGTTACTTATTTTTCTTTTTTCTTTTTTTCTTTAATGGATAGTGAAAGCTGAAGGTTGACAGGAAAGGGGGGTAGAGAGAGGGGATGACTCGCAGCAAAGGGCCGCAGGTTGGATTCGAACCCTGGGCCGCTGCAGCTTGGTACATGGTCGCTAGCTCTACCAGGTGAGCTAACCGGTACTAACTAACTCTCACTTATTTTGATGTCAATCCCACTTTGCTGCTGCTGTAAATACTCACTAGTGCATCAAATGTGTATTCATTCACAGAACATAGTCCCCAACAGATTTACTCCTGCTTGAATTACAGTGCCCAGCTGTCCTGAGAGGTTTTATCTTATTATCTGATCTGAAAACACGGGCTGAATGATCCACAACACAACGTACACATAATGCTACATAATGTAACACCACCACAACCTTAATATAGCTTTTAAAAATTCCACATTTCCTTAACCTACCTCTTTTTCTGAGTGGTGAGCTAACGTATCTGTTTAGGGAATTTTTATTTTATGGTCACATTGCTTCATGTCTGATAAAGTAATGCATTTGGGTTTTTGTCTTAGCTTTCTTGTATTGAAAATGTGCCCAAATATCACCTTATTTCTATATTCCAAACCCTGTTAACATATTCAGTTTTCATTAACAAAATTAATAGTGCAAAAAGAAATAAGCTTATATATAGTATATGAGCATATAGTTGTGAGCAGAAGGAAGTGTTTATTTATGTTTTTGTCAACAACTGTGGGGCCCAAAAGTGGTACACAAATGGTACGTTATATACATAATAATATATACTGTTGTATAACACTCACAGGAACAATTTGATGAATAATTTGTACATTTTACTGACAATACTTTTGTTGTATTGCTGCTTTTATGTAAATATAAGATCTGAATCCTTCTTCCACCACTGCTCGTACTTCTCCGGCCTTATTTACCATTTCTCTGCTCCTCCTGTTCAGTTCATGCATGCAGAGAGTTGTGTAGCACTGGGAGTCAGTACTCAGTACTGGTCACACTGAGTGACCAGTACACTGAGTCCTGTGTTTCTCTGTACTGGGTGACCCAGACAGAGCTGCCCCAACCCTGGAGCTCAGTTTACATGCACAGATACACAGCAAACCTCACAGAGTTATAAACAGAATCATCTTTATGTATCTGTCGCTGAGATGGATACTGAATACTCAACAGACAGAAAAACACTGAGTCAGGGTGAAGTCTTAAAATGTTTTAAATAAAGGGCTTAAAAAGTATAAAATTCTCTTAAATTTAGATTGGATTTGTCTTTAATATGTTTTAATCATGTCATGACATCCCTTGAATAAATAAATAACTATTTGAACATGTTAGCATGCAGATATTAGCAGATATTGCCAAAGTACAGCCTCACAGAGCTGCTGGCACAACTGCAGACTCTCTTACTTATTGTTTTTATTCTTATGACTGGCAAGTTAAGTTTCCCTTTGTACAACATGTGCTAAAACCTTTCACATTTAGTGGTTTTAGTGGTTTTAAGTTGTGTTTAATG